CCGCTGCCATAATCAAGATACATAACAGGTGCCTCATCCACAAACATCCCTCTTGCCCTTATAGTCTGCCTCCTCTCTTGCTCAGGCTAAATGGACCTGTTTGCTATGTCTGTAGTTTTACCTGTTCTAGAATGTCATATAAATGGAATCATACACATGGCAGTTCTTTATATCTCTCTCATTTAATATAATGTAAATTTATCCATGCTAAATGTACCCTGTTTGTTCCTTTATATGGCTGAGTACAAAGTTACTACACTGTATGAATGTACTACAGTTGATTTATCCATTCTCCAATAGAGGACCATTTGAGTTATTTCCAGTTTTTGATAATTGTTAATAAAGCCACCATAATATTTGCATATAGGTCTTTGGATGAACATAAGTTTTCATTTCTTCTGGGTAAATAATAAGAATGGGATTGCTGAGTTGTAGGATAAACCTCTGCTTACCATTATACGAAACAGTAAATTGCTTCCCAAAGTGGTTGCACCATTTTGCATTCCCACTGATGTGTAAATAAATGGGGTTTGGAGCTGATGGCCAAGTGAGAATTCTTGAGACCTCTTCTGTGCAAAAAGGTGGTTTTATTAAAGTACAGGGACAGGATCCATGGGCAGAAGAGCTGCACTGGGGTTGTGAGGGGTGACTGATTATATACTTTCAAGTTGGGAGGAGGTGGGGATAGATAGCATTAAACCTCTAAGGAATTTTGGAAGCAAGGTTTCCAGGACCTTGAAAGGGTTAGCTATTGTTAGGAAAAGGTCATGTATTACTGTTTAGTAAAAACTCAATAATGAGACCCTTCAGATGTGTATCAGTGGGCCATATTCTTGGAGGATGATTGCTAACATATATCTTGTGGGGGTAGAGATAAAGAAAGTTTCCAAAGGAATTTTTATGTGTTAAAGTAGACTTACAGGATCCTGGAGCTGGGGATAATGTTAAGCTAAGATTCCCTTTTCCCCTAGCAAAGTGTCATCATCGAGGCACCTGAGTTCCTAGAGGAATGTCACTCTGCCTGTTTCAAGGACTTGTCAATGGGCTGTAGGCAATAAGGAAATTTAATTTTTTTTTTTTGCTTTTGCTTCCCACATCCCCTGCCATCAATGTATGAGAGTTCTAACTGGACTGCCAGCATTTGGTATTACCAGTTTTTGTGGTAAAAAAGAAAAATCTTATTCATTCTAATAGATCTATACAAGTGCCTCAGTGTAGTTTAAATTTTTAATGACTCATTGTGTTGAATATAATCACATTTATTTGCCACTCATATCTCTTCTTTGGTGAAATCTCAGTTCAATTATTTTGCCCATTTATTGGGCTGTTTTATTGTTTTTTGACTTGAAGTTTCCTTACAAATTCTAGATCCAAATCCTATGTCAGAAATGTGCTTTGCAAATTTGTCTCTGATGTCTGTAGCTTATCTTTTCATTTTTAAAAATACTGTATGTCTTAGTTATTTCAGGCTTCTATAATGAAATACCTACCATACACTGGGTGTCTTAAACAACAGACATTTGTCTCTAACAGCTCTGGAGACTGTTAAGTCCAAGACCAAGGTGCCAGCAGATTACTGTGAGAACCCTTTTTCTGGTGTGCAGACCGTCAGCTTCTTATTCCTCACATGCTGGGGAAGGAGAGATCAAGTGCTCTGCTTTCTGGTAAAGGCACTGATCTCATCATGAGGATCCCACCTTTACGACTTCACCTAAATCCCAAAGTCCCCATAATCAAATATATTTGGGGGTAGGACTTCAACATATAAATTTGCAGAAGGGTGAAATACAATTCAGTCCATAATAGTGTCTCTCAAAGAGAGTAAATTATAAATTTTGATGAAGTTCAAATTATCAATTTTTTTTAACAGATCATACATACCTTTGGTGTCATATCTAAAAAATCTATACCTACCCAGATCACAAAGATATGCTCTGATTTTTTTTTTATAGAAAATGTATTCTTTTAGGTGTTTTTATTTAGGTACAGTTCATTCTGAATGAACTGTTACACGTGGAGCCAAGTATAAATGATTCTTTGTTGTTATTGTTCTAACACCGTCTGTTAAAAAAAGGTCTATTTTTGACCTCTCCTTTCTGCCCATTGATTTATGTGTCTGTCCTTTTATAAATACCATATTCTTTTAATTAGCGTGGCTTTATCCTCGGTCTTGAAATCAGCTAGTATGAATCCTTCAAATTTCTCCTTTTTAAAAATTGTTTTAATTATTCTATTCCTTTGCATTTCTAAATAAAATTTAAAATCAGCCAGTTTCTACTGGGGAAAAAAAAGCCTTCTGGTATTTTGGCTTGGGTATCATTGAATCCATGTAAATTAATTTAGAGAGATTTGACAGCTTAACAATATGGAGTCTTCTAGGGTGCCTGGGTGGCTCAGTCAGTTAAGCGTCTGACTCTTGATCTCAGCTCATGATCTCATAGTTCGTGAGTTCAAGCCCTGCATCGGCACAGAATCTGCTTTGGATGGTCTCTCTCTTTCCCTCTCTCTGCCTCTCCCCCACTCGTGTGTGTGTGTGCTGTGTCTCAAAATAAATAAACTTAAAAAGAATAATATGGAATCTTCTTATCCATGATCATGTATTTCTCTCCTTTTGTTTAATATCCCTTGGTAACTTTTAATAGTTTTCCATGTACAGGTTTTGCACATCTTTTGCTAGATTTATCCCTTAGTATTTTATATTTTCTATGATATTGTTTTCAAATTCAGTTTCTGAATTTATTAACTATTATTTATTATTACTTATTTTAAATATTTTTTGTATTTTATTTTTTATTTTTGAGACAGAGACAGAGCATGAGTTGGGGAGGGGCAGAGAGAGAGGAATTCTGACACAGAATCTGAAACAGGCTCCAGGCTCTGAGCTGCCAGTACAGAACCCGATGCAGGGCTCGAACCCACGAACTGTGAGATCATGACCTGAGCCAAAGTTAGACGCTTAACCGACTGAGCCACTCAGGCACCCCTATTATTACTTATTTTATAATGAAGCATTGAATATCTCATGTAATTTATTGAATGCTGTACTGAAAGTGAAAAACAGAAGGGTTGTATAGGTATGGGGACCTGTAGCTCACTGCTGCCCATCACATTACATATCACTACCCGGGGAAACATCAACATTCTAAATTCAGATTATGGTTTCTACTGGACACGTATTGCTTTTACACCATCATAATGTCAAAAAATCATAAACAGAACCATCATAAATTGGAGACTACCTGCATATAGAAATATAATTGATTTTGTATATTCACCTTGAATTCTATAAACTTGCTAAATCTGCTTTAGTATTTTTTTGTGAATTCCTTAGGATTGTCTGTGAAAAAAAGCAGTTACTTCTTCCTTCTTGATTTAACTATCCTTTACTGATATTTCTTGATTTTATTGGTTGCACCTTGCTTCTCTCAAGCCTTCAGTTTTCACCATTATATTAGACCAATAGGACTGCCATAAGTATCACAGCTTCAACAACATTTACTTTCGCAAAATTTTCACACAATTCTGGAATCTAGAAGTCTAAGATCACAGTGTCAGTCGGGTTGGCTTTTCCTGAGGCCTCTCTCCTTAGCCTGTCTTCTCCTTGTGTTTTTACATGGTTTTTCCTCTGTCTGTGTTTGTGCCTTAAACTCCTCTTCTCGAAGAACACCAGTCATATTGGGTTAGGAGTCACCCTAATGACTTTATTTTAACTCAGTTACCTCTTTAAAGCCCCTACCTCTGAATACAGTTATAATCTAAGGTACTGGGGGTTAGGACTCCAACATACAAATTTAGTGGGGGGAGGGGACAAAACTGAGACTGTAACAATATTAAATATGTTAGCTGTAGGTCTTTGAAGATGCCCTATTATCAGGTTAACATTCTCTTTAAAATTTTTTAAAATCATAAATGAGTACTGAATTTTCTCAAGTTTTTCTGCATTAGGATGATTATGCATTTCCTCTTTCTCTCTTTTAACATAGTAAATTACATTGATTTTTCAAATATTATATTTTTGGGGAATACTCCAATTCAGTCATGACATGTTATCCTTTCTATATGTTGCCAATTTTTATTTGGGAAAATTTTACAGAATATCTTCCTGGCACATAACAGATTAAAGGATGTATTTGTGAGTGAAAGGGCAGATGCTGTACAACTGTTAAGTCACTTACCAGAACATAAATAATAAGCTTATTACTTTGAAATACGTAGGCAAATATCAGAAATAATAGTTCAAAGAGCTAAAAGTTAATGAAAGCAGCACTAGTGGGCAACGTTGTCCATACCCATCCTTCCTTCTTTTTCTACCATTTGACTTTTAATTTATATGTACACTAAGTTTTACTTCATATCAACGAAAAAAAAATCCTCCCCATCCAGACCAGAGGCTAGTTATTTGCTCGTTTTTAGTTCATTTTCATTACAACTCTGATTCAGATGGGATTATTTTGCCGGTGCATAGTGTGCAAACAATCGGAAGAGTGCCTCTCCTTCCTTCCAAATAACTAGCTCCTTCCAGCACAATTTCTTGTTTGTCCTTAACTGTCTCCCATGCTGTGTTAATACTCTCACATATTTATACTAGGTTGTTTTCTATACTATCCGTATTTGTCCTGGTCCACCAGTGACTGGAGCTATAACTAGAATGAATGTACTGTGGTGGTGAAGTTAATCCAAACAAAAAAAGAAACAGGAAGTGCAAAGGCCCAGAGGTTGATAAAAGCAGGTGGCTGGTAAAACGCATGATGGAGCAATCTGAGAACAGATAAGGATAATAAATGTTGAAAGCACAGCAGTAACTGGCATCACTTAAAACGAAACCTTGACAGGCAGTCCTGGGAAAGGAGTCACGACGAGTCTCAAGCTGGGATCCTCACGTGAGGCAGAGCCACCACGCACGAATGTCAGTCCCAGGGACTCCGGCGTTGATTTCGGGGGCCCGCGCAGGCTCGGCCCAGGGGGCGGGGCGAACGTCACTTCCCGCGGCCTCCGCCGGGTCCTCCCGCGCTATGATGGCCCGCGCGGAGCCGCAGGGGCGGCGGCCCGGAGTCGGGATAGGAGTAGTGGTGACTAGCAGCAGGCATCCTCGTTGCGTACTCCTGGGGAAGAGGAAGGGGTCGGTTGGAGCCGGCCGTTTTCAACTCCCCGGGGGCCATTTGGAGTTCGGGTGAGCAACCGCCGAGCCCACACGGAGAGAGCCGAACGTGCACGGAAAGGACGCTCTCTCTCCGTGCGTGCGTCCTTGCGTGCGCGCCGACGCTGCGTCCTCTCGCGCGTTCTTCCGCTCTCTCCTTGGTCCTCGGTGCCGCTAGGTGCAGGCTCCGGCCGCGTGGGGGCGCTGAGCTGTGGAGGGCGGCCGAAGCGTCTGTGGTCAGCCGGAGCCCCGCCAGCCCAATCAGCCTTTTATCCGCGCCCGCGGGCGGGTGTGTGGGGTGTGATTTTCCTAACGTTTACACGTGAGAGACGGACAGTGGGTCTTTAGGACGATCTTGTCCAGTTGTGTCAGTTCAGACACTTGTAGGGTTTGGCTGTGCTTTAAACGTGCACGGACGGACGTCCTGTTTCCTGCCCGCAGGGTTAGCTGCGCCCTGATCAAGCGGATGGGCTAGTGAGGCTCTCTGGGCCTCCGTGTCTTCATCTTTACAGCGGGGAAGTTGAACAGAGCACTTTAACGTGGCATTCTGTGGTTTGATGGTGGATCAGACCGATAAATGAAGTCGGACGGTTAAGGGTCAGGTCTACCGCAGGGTGCGGAAAGCCGGGGATTTTGCTAAAAGGTGGGTTCTGAAGTGACAATGAGGTTAAAATCAACGGTGGATGAACAGTATCTAAATCGGTCAGTGCCAGCTCCTGTTTTTCCATTACTGTAAAAGTTCAAACATAAAAGTAAGCATTTGGTGGATCCTCTCATGTACTTACTACTCAGCTTGTTCTTATTTCATCTTTACTGCTCCATCCCACCAGACTCACACATCCCTTGTTTTCTAGACTCTTCCTGAAGAAAAACGCAGTCATTTATTATACCACGCCAAACAGTTTGTTATGTACCTGTAATAGACATTTTTTTAAAAATGTAACTCCGTTTTCATACCTTAAGGAAATACATTTTCACACCTTAACAAGATAATTCGTTAATAACCTGTGATATTCAGCCTGTACCACTTCCCCCATTTGTCTTCAAAATGTATTGTTTTGTACTAATCAAGTTCAAAGGAAGATTGTACTTTGGGATTGATTGTAATTTGGGATTGATACATTTAAGTCTCCAAATCTAACAGTAATCCTCCTCCCTCCCCCCTCTTTTTTATACCATCCCATGTTGAAGAGCATAGGTCATTTGGAGAATTTCTTACATTCTGACTATATTCTTCTAATCCACCTATTTGTTAGAAAGTGATAGTTAGAGACATGATCCAAGTGCCTTTTAAACAGACTTTGTCTTTGATCGTGGAATTCTTACGATTTTTTAGCACATGGAAATTTTTAAATGGTCTTCAGGATTTTAAAAAGCATCAATAAGTTTATCATTTTTAGGTAATTAAGATAAGCCATCAGTTAATAACTAATACAATTTCTAGGTTAAGGATCACATTGCCCAGAGACACACACTGTATTGTCCTTTGTCAATTGCAATGGCTAGAGATAGCCATCTTAATGATAATGCAATAAAGTATTGGAATCTTTACTCAGATATCCAATGATAGTAACCAAAATGGACCTTTAATGAGCTTTTTACTGAGTGCTAGATATTATGCCAAGTTCCTCACATGTATGCTTTAACTTATCTTTATATGACTGGTACACTGAATGGGCTAAGTTTGAGCGGAAACAAATAGATAATGGGTTTATTTTCTTCTTCCCTTATCTTTATAATTTTTTAAGTTTATTTATTTAAGATAGAGACAGCACCAGTGGGGGAGGGGCAGAGAGAAAGGGAGAGAGAGAGAATCCCAAGTAGGCTCCACATTGCCAGCTCAGAGCCTGACACGGGGCTCGCACCCACTAAACATAAGATCATGACCTTGAGCAGAAACCAAGAGTTGAAGGCTTAACCAACTAAGCCACCCAGGAACCCCTTCTTTTCTTTTTCTGCTGTTCTGTGACATTTCCTGCAAATTCTATTGTTGTCCTGTCACTTGATTAGAAAAATAAATCACATTTGGTCATTATGATCCACTTCCAAGCATTTGTCTCTCCCTATAGTGGGGAAAAGGACAGAGAAGGAGGGCCTCCTCCTTTTCCCACTGTTTCTGATTTCCTTCCTTCTCCAGTGTGTTGGGGAGGGAGGGTATGGGCCAAACTTTTTTCATGACTAGTGCTGCTGTGATCCACCCATTGGTGCCCTCTGGATGGTGTGCCCTCTTCTTCAGGGTATATCTGTTGGTTGTTTAGAAGTCCCACAAAGATATCTATCCTGTACAGTTCTCAGACATAGGTGGCTGATTTAGCTCTTGCTTAGCACACGACCTTGATTTTTCTTTCTGCTGGGATCCCCAGCAGTCTCTTACAGTATCTTCTGGGCCCAGAAGAAAATTCACAATGAGAATAACGCCTTCACTGTCACCCTTTCTCCTTGCTCATTCATTGTGGGCTTCTCTAGACAGTCTCCTGCCTTCCAGATTCTCAAAGTGGGAATAAACATCAGCCTCTGTATTCACGTGCATCCCTAAACACCAAAGGACACATTTTAGACTTACCCAATAGCTCTTACCTTCCTACTACTTCTACTCTGAATCACAGGCCTGTAAGTTTCTGCAGATCAGTACAACTTTGGCAGGGGAGTAACACACCAGTATCTCCTTGGGAGTCACACCCAATCTCTGTGACCAGTTTTCTTGAAGCACCTCTCACTTGGCTTTGGGCAGAATTGTCCTTTCATCAGGACAAAGGGAAATGTTGCAGCTATGCTTGAAAATTCATGACTTTCCTCCCTGCCCTAAATCTCCTTTCTTATTATGTAGACTGGGTCGGGTGAAGGTCAAAGACTTGAAACCTATTTGCTCTCTTGCCATACTCTTTAGAATTTGAGGTGCTTATTTCATATTTTCCTCAATTTTAAGGCTTAAATGAAAATTCTGAGACTGCAGAAAAAGATGTTGTCCACTTCTTGAAATACTTACAACGACCTCGTTAGAGAGTAGTCTTATCTCTTTTTATTTGTCCATGGTAGAAAGTCATGGACTTCAAAATCGAACCTAGGTCTAGCTGACTCCGAAGCCTATGCTCTTAACTATATACTAAACTGTCTCCTGATTGCATATAGCCTCCTGGCACATGAACGAGTGCTGAATTGGCTAAATGTTCCTTTTTTTTTTTTTCTCAATAGGAAGTCCGTCCGTTTGGTCTTCAGATAACTTCAGATACTTTATACTTCAGATAAAGACAATATTCAAAGGCAGGATTGTTGATTGATTGTTTTAAAGCATGAGCCAATTAAGATTTGTTGTTTTTTGTTTTTTTGCTTTAGACTAGAAATTTCTAGGCAGGACTTTCTTGGCAAAAAAAAACAATAAAAAATAAATTACATAACAAGAATTGAGTACAGTGCTGTGCTTCTGTTTTCCAGTGAAACTTGGGAAGAATGTGCTCAAAGGGAAACGTGGGAAGAAGCAGCTCTTCACTTGAAAAATGTTCGCTTTGCCTCAGTCGTGAATTCCTTTGTTGAGAAAGAAAATTACCATTATGTGACGATATTAATGAAAGGAGAGGTGGACATGACTTATGATTCAGAACCAAAGAACACAGAGCCTGAAAAAAATGAAAGTAAGAGACTTATGTGTAATAATGCATGTTTTTTGAGGAGCCTATCATCCAAGTATTACATTATGTTTGCTGCATGAAGAGAATTAGAGTCTCTTCATATGGAAATGTAGATACACATACTTAAATCCTGGAGACTTAAGCATATAGCAGGGAAGAGAAGTGGCCCAGAGCCAGACTACTTGACTTGCATCCTGGTTTTTCCATGGAGAGATTTGTTACCTTGGGCGAGTTACTTAATGTTTCTGGGCCTCTTTTCTCCTCTGTGATAATAGCAACTACCTCTGATGGGTTGTTGTAGGGATAAAATTAGTTAATACCTGTAAAGAACCAAATGAACACTGTAAGTACTCAGTAAGTCTTAATTTTATTTTTAGTGTTTAATTTTGCTTCAAACAGATTTTAAGCAAAACGTTGAAGGTGCTATCCTTGGTTTTCTCACCTGTGTAAGATATAAAATTTCCTTGTATGGAGAGTGACTCACCTGACAAAACAATTATCCTCAGTGTTGAGTCAAGTAACCTGAAAGCTTTAACAATACTGTGTGCTAAGCATTATCCTAAGGGCGTTGCATATATCATCCCTCTTCAAATTTCATAAAACTCCATGAGATAGAGTAAAATATCAAGTTTAGCAAATATTTGCCTTGTGAAAGCTTATCCAAGCGGTTTTGTGTGCTGGACCTCCCCTATAAACATTTAATTTATGCTCCACTATGGAAGAATCTAGTAATTCAACAAATGCATACTGAGTATTGTGTGCCAGATACTGTTCTGGGCCCTAAAACAACAGTGGTCTGTGGAGCAAAGTCCCTCCCCTCTCAGATTTTACTTTTTTTTTTTTAAATCCAGGGGAAAGGCAACACATTAGCAGATATTTTACAATGTAATACTTACAATGTAAGGAAAAAGAATAAAAGTAAAATGTGTAAGGACAGTGACCCATGGGTGCTGTATCAGGTAGGGAGGTCATGGAGGGCGTGTGAGTAGGGACTATATATTCTGGAGGAAGTGAGATTTCTAGAATGGATAAATCCTGATTTAAGTGGTTTGCTGACTGAATTCATTGACTGAACAGAAGGCTGTGTTCTACCCTAAGGCCTGTTGAGTCATATATGACTGTTTTATAAAACAGGTAACAACTTGAAATCATCTAAAGTGAACTAGCAGAGTCTGAGCTGTTTTTACTCACTACATTCCAACACCAAACCTGTAGCTCTTTTCCTCACATCAAACAGTTCTCCAGACATCAATTGGATGCCCTATAATTCAGTTGAATTCTTAACACTGTCTATCTAGAGTCAGTGTCAGATCCAAAAAGTTAGAGCGCTCAGTCCCACAAGACTTCAAATACCAGTCTCAAGTCCTGGCCTCCTATACTTCTGGCCACCTGGCTATAAATTGGGGTTCCCACATCCTCCTCCTCAGGTTCAGTAATTTTCTAGAATGCCCTGCAGAACTCAGGAAAACCCTTTACTTACATTACCAGTTTGTTATAAAGGAAACAATTCAGAAACAGCCACATGGAAGATGCACTGAGCAAGGTGGGTGGGGAGAGGGACACAGAGGATTTGTACTCTCAGTGAGCACTTTGATGCGTTCACCTCCCAGGATGCTCTCTGAATCCTGTTGTGTGGGGTTTTCATAGAGGTTCCTATGTAATGGGATTAGTACATATTATTATCGTCCTCTCTATGATTGATTAGATCATTGACTGTTGGTGATTAACTCAATCTCCAGCCCAGTTGTGTTTTTCTGGTTACCTGCCCCCAATTCTGAGCCTATCTAGGGACCCCCAGCCACCCATCAGCTTATTAGCATAAACTCAGGTATGGTTGAAAGGGGCTTATTATGGATAACAAAAGATGTTCCTCTCATCCCTATCATTCAGGAAAACACAAAGGTTTCAGGAACTCTGTGCCAGGAAACAGGGAGGAAAGCCAGATATATATATTCATTATATCACAGTAACACACACAGAAATACCCAAGAAGTACCCAAAGGCATTCAGTTGGCCTAAGGTACAACTAAAATCATTCATGCCTTAAGAAGAAAAGGTGAGAAATGTACCAGGTGGACCAGGGGAGCTCTCTACAAGTTCTTCTATCTCTCACATCCCCAGTGCTCCTGGATAAAAGGAGGAATAGAAGAGAGAGGAGTCCAGGGTAACAGTGGAAACAAAAGTCAGTAGTCTTGAAATCCTGAAGCTGTGAGGACTACTTGTCTTTTTAATATTAAATTGAAGTAGAAATATCTTCAGTTTAAAGCAAGATATAGTTCCTGTAGCTGAATTTTTAAAAATTAGTTTGAGGTGTCATTTATTCAGGTAGTAAGCACAGATTGAAATTTTAAAAATTAGTTTGAGGTGTCATTTATTCAGGTAGTAAGCACAGTTTATTATTGTTCTCTTAAAAGAGAGCCCTCAACTTGGAAGGAATGACCATATCCTTATTTTTATCTTTTCTACCAGCAAAAAAACCTGACATGAGAAGAGACAAAATAATGAAATAGTTTGGTCTTGCATACTTAGCGTCCTTCACAAGGAGCAGACATAGTACTCATTTGTGGAGAAGCGCTGAGGAGAAAACAGTGGAGCCATGGACTGTCCCACCAGCGCTGACCAGTCTCTAGCCAGCTGCCTCTGTCTCTCAGTCCCCCCCACCGCGCCCCAGCCTCTGTTGGGATTGGGGTCGCTGAGGCCTGGTTCAGGGCACAACTTCCCATCCTGGTCTGCACTGTGGGCCTGTATTTCTAGTTACCTTCTCCTGATGTTAGAAGGCACCTCAGGTTTGGTTCAAGTGTTCACCTTCAAATCGTCCTCACTGGTTTTCCTTTCCTGAACCTTGACTACATAAAGTGCAGGTGTTTGGGCTTATTCCCCTTTGACTCTCCCGTGCCTGTCCCTATTCAGAATCTATTGTTCAGAACATGTTGAAGGAAGAAGGGAAGGGAATGAGGGGATGAGGTTCTCCAGTATAGTATCTAGACTGGCCTAGTTTTGAACAACTTCCAAAAGATTATTATCCTACATTATAAAGTTCTCTGTTAGAATTTTTGTTACTGTGTTATGGTGTGTATTGTTTTTCCCCTCCTAGAATCTGGTAGTTTTGACTCATTTTTACATGCTTTGTGATTTCTTTCATTTATGTAACTTTTTTTTTAGTTTGTCCACCTTCATTTTTTTGACCCTCTCACATGCTAGTAATCTGGAGTCAAACAGTATGATTTTATAAGGCCCCAGGTTACTAGCACCAAGTCAGATTTGATCAGAAACATTTATTCCTCTCTAGCCCGTCATAACAATATAGCAGGAATTATTTTCACTTTTTTCCCCTTGGAGAGCTTCTGCTGGGTAACCAGCTGCACCACAGTCAGGGTGCATCGGCTTGGTGGTGGTGGTTTTATTTATAGCATAAAGATGCTTTTTCTCTACCATGTTCATCAGATCTTGGATCTGGATCACCTGCTTCAGGTTACCAGTTACGCATCTTTTCTCCAGCCATCCAGTTATAATTAGGATCAGCCAGATGCTTCATTTTCTTGAAAACGAGATAAACTTTACAGATAGCTCCCTTGAGACTGTTAATTCAGCATCTTGCAGCACATTGTTGGGTGACACCTCTCTTTCTCTCTCTCTTTCTCTCTCCCTCCATTCTTCTCTCTTTCTCTTAGACTGCAGTCACAGTTGCTGATCACTCTTTCCTGAACTTGCTCTAATTTCATGGTTTCTTTGTCCTCTGTCCCAGCACGAAACAGCATACCTGTATCTTACAGGCAGAGAAATACTTAGTGGAAGAAACTGCACTTAAACATAAATATATGCATATGACCATGAAGGAACTTAGGACACAGAATATACATCTTAGTAATACAATATTTATATATTCACCTGTTATGGTGCTTTCATGTTATTTGTATTTAAATCATCAAAGAGAAACTGCTGCCTAGAGTGTTTTTCTAGGATTTTGTGTATATCACAACTAATAGACACTGTTAAATCTTTCCTTTTTCAATGGATTTTTGAAAAATGGTCCCATCCATATTGTCTTGCTATCTAAAGTATACTGCAGCCAGAGAATACTTTTTATTCTCTGCACAGCTTCCATTACTTTTTAAAAAGATGGAGGGTAGCTTAGAAAGATTGTAATTTACCTTATTCTATAGGTGGGCAACTGGTTTGTTTTAATGTAGCGTTGCAACCTGTCATATGTAAAGTTCTGTATGTTTTGTTTAGCCAAATATTTAAGCAAAAATTGAATTATCTTATATCTGGGTTTTACCATCATGGGACCCTTGTAAAATTGACCTCAGTGTTAAAATAGAAGCATGTTTTAAATGATCACCATTCTGTTAAGATCTTCATTCTAAAGGCAAATTATGTTGGTACAGCTGAGCTAATGCACAGCATCACAATGACTAGTACTAGTTGCAAGTCATTTTTATATTTATTTTTTTCTAAGTATAGGTTAACTTGCCAAAATAGATATTCTTTGTTTCCTTCCAGCTAAAGAAATTGATTTGGTATCTTTCTTTTCTAGGTTGGGAGTGGGTTCCGTGGGAAGAATTTCCTCCACTGGACCAGCTTTTCTGGGCACTGCGGAGTTTAAAGGAACAAGGCTACAATCCATTTAAAGAAGATTTAGATCACCTGGTAGGGTACAAAGGCCATCATCTCTAGGGGAAGAAGATAACCTCAAACACTTTGAAAAGACAACATAGGGTTCTATGAAAGCATGAAAAATATCTGCATTTCAGAACAACTCCATTTTATGTAAAAAGTTCCATATACTTACCAGTTTATTTTCTGCCTCTTAATATATACCCACCACCCTTTCAGCCAGTACTTGTGAAAAATTTGCTGGCATTATATCATGAATTGCATTTCAGACTCAGAAAATGTGATAAATGGTGATATTGTGGCAATTCTGCTTTTTGTATTTTTCTGTGATATTTACTGTGCAGTTTTTCATTACTAGCTTGAATGGCATGGAGGGCAGTGGAATTTACCCTCGTGTTTCAGTTCAAATAGAAATCCTAATTCAGATGCTAAGATAGTATGCCTGTGGCAGAACTTAATCAGGTTTGTTGATTTTCCTCGTCTGTTTTATTTAAAATAAAGTTTTTGGTACTATAGTGTGACAGTCTTTGCAACTAGAGTGACAGGACAGGTCATTAGGATGTATTTCCCAGGTTTCTGATTCAGAGCCTACCTCAAGAGAAGTAAGACAAACTGAGATATTATCCTGTCATTAACAGGGAATGGGCTTTTGGGATTTCTCACATAATCTCTGTGAAATCCAGCTTCCTTAGATATAAAATGAGATTAGACTAGGGCAGTGGTCCTCTAGGTGTGGTCTGGGGAGGTCCATGAGACCCTTTCATGGGCACTCAAGGTCAAAGCTGCTTTCATAATAGTATAGGACATTATTTACCTTTTCCACTGTCATTCTTTCATGACTGTACAGAGGAGCAGGCCAGAGGCTAAGTGATGTGTGATATTGTAACAGATTGAATGCAAGAGGAAACCAGGCAAGACTTACAGATGAAAGTCTTCCATAGGTTTATCTCAAAGATAGCTGATTGGGAATTCATTGATTCTTCAGGCTAGTCCCTATCCAAGCAGGTATTTTATAGCTTCAGAAACTTACCACAAAGTAGAGTTTTTCCATATCTGTTACTTTAAATTTTTAATGGACAGATTCATTAGGAGCTTAAGAGATTTTGTTTGTTTTAAATCTATCTAATTAGACATGAAGGTTTATTTCAATGGAAAGAAAAAAAACTAACCTGGGCTATATGCAGAATTTGAGAAACTCGACAGATGAACTGTAGAGGAAGGGAAGAAAAAAATAAGATAAAAACAAAGAGGGAGGCAAACCATAGAAGACTCTTAAATACAAAGAACAAAGTGAGGGTTGCTGGAGGGAGGTCTGGCTGGGGAGAGGTGGGTTAAATGGGTGATGGGCATTGAGGGCACTTTGCGGGATGAGCACTGGGTGTCATATGGAAGAGATGAATCATTGGGTTCTATTCCTGAAGCCAAGACTACACTGTATATAAATATCTTGAATTTAAATAAAAATAAAATGAAATAAAATTTAAAAAATAAGTATTTTCAATGCAATGGTAAAAAAATTTTTCTAAAAGTTAAGTTTCATGTTAGAAGGGGATTGCATTTACCCCAGCACTTCACATGCTCCGTTGGCATCCCGTAATCACTCAGTAAATATTTCTCCAAATAAGCAGATGAATAGAGGTGGATTTAGAACTCTTAGGTAAGCAGTTAATTCTTAGATGGTTTGAGAATAGCCTTTAATGGAAAAAAACTAATGCTGACTACTAGCAATATTCTCATACAATTAAATGTCAGCTACAGTTCCTGAAGTACACCTCGCTCTGCCAGGATGCTGAGGAGTCTGAAACATCTTTTCCTTCATCTGTGTGCCAGGTCAATCACTGATGTGTCCTGTATTCCCTGGTAAGCAAGTGCAGTATCCTAGCAAAAACCCTCCCAATGGAGCATGTGGTGAATTAAGCCTCCCTTGGAGGAAACAGTTCTTTGATAGCTGCACTGCTGGCTTTCCAAGTAAGGCAAATGCTTTCAAATGAAATACTCTCTTTGGGGCAGCAAGAATCACATGAGCTTAGAACTGTGGAGAGAGAAAGCTCAGGGAGTCATCTGCGGGGGAGAAAATAAAGTCTTCTTCAAACCTAAGATCAGCCACATATCAATGCTGCCTTAAAAAAAATAATAATTAGGTTATTTATGTTGTACTTAGAACATACAGTGCTCTGCTTGAGTAGCATTTGTGAAGAATGCAAATTAAAGATAACAGTGCACATTGACTGAGAGGCATATACCAAGCCTTCCACTTTATGGACTTGAAGAAACTGAACATATGAGTCCATACTTAAGATCCTCCACAAGCATTTAGTTTGTATCCACTGTGTGCTAAATACTATGATAGGCACTTAATTATATTTATATTGTAAGTTGAATCTATCACATTTAATCCCAAATTTCTATTCTAGATTTCCCATTTTTAGTTTACTATGTTTAAGTATTTGGCTTTTTGCATAATAATAATGCTCAATAGCTCTGTATGCAATGACATAGGACCCCTCATTTTACTTACCAGAACAGTTCATGGGCAGAAGGAACAAAGTAGCAGGCAGGTGAGCCAAGCTGTTCACCAGCTTCAGTTTGCCTTCATCTTCCTGTCCTCTGTTTTCTTCTTTACAGATTCACTTTCCATCCATTGTTGAGAACTCCCCAAACGACATTATGTACAGTTCAGACCTTTTTTCTAAGCTCCAGACACACCACTCATCTCTACCTGAGCTTTTCCACATCCTTCTAATTTGGTATGTTCCAAACTGAAGTTGCCTTTGTTATTCCTCTCCAGGAACAACTCCATCATCTGCTGAATTGCTCAAATTAGACACCCTTCCCCCACGTAAAGCAGCCACTGTCTTCTTGTCCATTCTATTTCTTTCCTGTCTTCTGAGTCCATCCCCCATGAGGATGTCCCAGCTGCCTCTCCTCGGTGCAGGTCCTCGTCATCTTTCTTCCAGATTGTGCCTGCAGCATTTACCCCTGCAACTAACTGACTGAGGTCAAATACACATGACTTAAAATTTACCCTCTGACTTATTTTTGACAGTATGCCTAGAGTGACTTTTCAGAAAATTAAATCTCATGGTCATTTGGCGTGATTCCAGTTGAAGCTGTTAAAATAAGGCTGCTATGCATGTGTATATGCTTTCTTAGGGTTCACATGTGTACTGATTACTGTTGGATGTAAACCTAGGAGTGGGAAGGCTGGATCACAGAGTATACAAATCTTTGCTAAAGAGATATTTTTTATGTTATCTATCTATCTATCTATCTATCTATCTATCTATCTATCTAAGCGGGGGAGGGTCAGGAGAGAGACAATATATTTTTTTAAGATTTTATTTTATTTTTTAATTTACACCCAAGTTAGCATATAGCACAGTAATGATTTCAGGAGTAGACTCCAGTGATTCATCCCCTATGTATAACACCCAGTGCTCATCCCAACACGTGTCTTCCTTAATGCCCCTTACCCATGTAGCCCATTCCCTCACCCACACCCCTCTAGCAACCCTGTTTGTTCTCTATATTTAAGAGTCTCTTATGTTTTGTCCCCCTCCCTGTTTTTATATTATTTTTGCTTCCCTTCCCATATGTTCATTTGTTTTGTATCTTAAATTCCACGTGAGTGAAATCCTAAGATATTTGTCTTTCTCTTACTAATTTCGCTTAGCATAATACCCTCTAGTTCCATCCATGTACTTGTAAATGGCAAGATTTCGTTCTTTTTGATGGCCAGGTAATACTTCATTGCATATATATACAGTGCATCTTTTTTATCCATTCATCCATTGATGGACATTTGGGCTCTTTTCATACTTGGCTATTGTCGATAGCACAGCTATATACGTTGTGGTGTATGTGCCCCTTTGTTTTTTTTTTTTTCAGAAACTTTTATGTTTTATTTATTTTTGAGACAGAAACAGAACATGAGCGGGGGAGGGTCAGAGAGAGAGGGAGACACAGAATCCAAAGCAGGCTTCAGGCTCTGAGCTGTCAGCACAGAGCCTGATGTGGGGCTCAAACCCATGAACTGTGAGATTGTGACCTGAGCCGAAGTCGGACGCTTAACCAACTGAGCCGCCCAGGCGCCCCTGTATGTGCCCCTTTGAAACAGCATACCTGTATCTCTTAGATAAATACCTAATAGTGCAATTGCTGGGTTGTAAGGTAGTTCTATTTTTAACTTTTTGAGGAACCTTCATATTGTTTTCCACAGTGGTTGCACCAGTTTGCATTCCCACCAGCAGTACAAAAGAGATCCTTTTTCCGTATCATTGACGACATCTGTAGCTGCCTGAATTGTTAATTTTAGCCGTTCTGTGAGGTGGTATCTCATTGTGGTTTTGATTTGTTTCTCTGATGATGAGTGATGTTGAGTATTTCTTCATGTGTCGGTTGGCCATCTGGATGTCTTCTTTGGAAAATTGTCTATTCATGTCTTTTTGCCCATTTCTTCACTGGATTCTTTGTTTTTCGGGTGTTGAGTTTGATAAGTTCTTTGTAGATTTTGGATCCTAACCCTTTATCTGATATGTCATTTGCAAATATCTTCTCCCATTCCATTGGTTGCCTTTTAGTTTTGCTGATTGTTTCCTTTGTTGTGCAGAGCTTTTTATCTTGATAAGGTCCCAATTTTTGCTTTTGTTTCCCTGGCCTCCAGAGAGGAGTGGAATAGGAAGTTACTGCAGCTGAGATCAAAGAGGTTTTTGCCTGCTTGTGTTAAGATTTTGATGGCTTCCTGTCTTATGTTTAAGTCTTTCTTTCATCCATTTTGAGTTTATTTTTGTGTATGGCGTAAGAAAGTTGTCCAGGTTCATTCTTCCACATGTTGCTGTCCAGTTATCCCAATACCATTTGCTCTTCAGACTGTCTTTATTCCATTAGATATTCTTTCCTGCTTTGTCAAAGATTAGTTGGCCATATGTTTGTGGGTCCATTTCTGAGTTTTCTATTCTGTCCCACTTATCTAAGTGTCTGTTTTTGTGCCAGTACTGTACTGTCTTGATTACACCTTAGTAATACAGCTTCAAGTCTGGGATTATGATGCCTCCAGTGTTTTTCTTTTTCAGGATTGCTTTGGCTATTCAGGGGTCTTTTCTAGTTTCATATAAATTTTATGATTCTTTATTCTAGCTCTGTGAAGAATGCTGGTGTTATTTTGATAGGGATTGCATTGAATATACAGATTGCTTTGGGTAGTATTTACATTTTAACAATATTTGTTCTTCCAATCCATGAGCATGGAACATTTTTCCATTTTTTAATGTCTTCTTTCTTTCATAAGCTTTCTATAGTTTTCAGTGTATAGATTTTTCACCTCTTTGGTTAGGTTTATTCATATGTATTTTATGGTTTTTGGTGCAATTGTAAATGGGATCAATTCCTTCTCTGTTGCCTCATTATTGGTGTATAGTAATGCAACTGATTTCTGTGCATTGCTTTTATGTCCTGTGACTTTGCTGACTTCATGTGTCAGTTCTAGCTGTTTTCTGGTGGAATCTCTGGGTTTTCCA